GGCTGGATGGCCATCTGTCAGGGGTGCTTTGAATGCAATATTCCTGCTTCTTGGCAGGGGGCTGGACTGGATAGCCCATGAGGTCTCTTCCAACTCTAGGATTCTATGATTCTATGTCACTCACATAATCTTTGCTAGACTTGTTCTCCTTACCCTTTAGTCTTCTTGTAAGTCGAGCCAACCGGACATGGCACGGGAGGAGAATAAGGCTTGCCAGCAAATTCAGGATCTGGGACACAAACCTCTAGTGACAGGTCTTCGCTCAGCTTGAAGCCGAAATCGCTGAGCAGGAAGAAAAGAGGAAGGGGCAAATGAATGTAAGGGCATTTTATTAAGTACAGTTTCTAATTCTAAAAGATACAAAACATCAGGAATTCAGTAAAATCCGGTTGGCCATATTTTTTGGAAAAGTTCAAGTAACTCACAGCAAGCCCTTTCTATCAGGTGATCTAAGAATGTGTTATATTTTTCAAGAAAGGATTGCTAAATACAGTCGTTCTTCCACATCTACAGGTTTTAGTTTTGCCAATGGATAATTCATAAATTGGATTACTATGTTCTCCTCACAAATCTCTAGGTACACTGGAGATGCCTCTATAGAAGGCATGGGCCAACTTGAGCCCTCCAGGTATTTTGGACTTCAACTCCCACAATTCCTAACAGCCTACTGGCTGTTAGGAATTGTGGGAGTTGGAGTCCAAAACACTTGGAGAGCCCAAGTTTTCCCATGCATGCTCTATAGTCATCTTCCATCTATAGACTTGGGCATTGCAAGCTGGAAATCACTTTAAATGACAAGTCTGTGCTGTGAGTAGCTCTACTAACTCACCACTCATAGTCTTCTCGGGTGCAAGAACAATTGGAGACCATGACCGGCCGATCAAAATCTTCCCCGTTGAAACATGTTGCGTGAGGAGTTCGTCTTTTGAAGACCGTTTTGTGCCCCAAAAGGCATTCGTTGCCTCGTTCATCAGACGGAGACCAGAGTTTGTAATCGTTTTCCGTGCAAGGCACTCCTGGATAGCAAAATGGGATTATTAAAAAGGTCATTAATATTAAAAATTTCCCAACCAGGTATGTTTCATGTACTATTGTTACATGTCACTTAAAAAAAATAGGTTAGGAAGGAAAGGCACAAATGTAGAGCTTGGTTTCCTCCTACACCTTGCAAGCATCCTTTAAACTTGGAGGCAGGAACATGAGCCTAATTAAAAGAATCCAGCACTATTTTAAATCCTTCAAACGCAACCTACCAATTGCATAGAATGGATCATTAAAGGCCTGCAAAACTACCTGCTCCCACTACAAACCTATTTCTTTCTTATGAGTAGGTGCAAGGATTTGACAAGGAGCGAGATGAGGATGGCTGTGGAAGCAGATATTCAACATTTGCCCTAAAAAAAGAGCCAAACTCTGAAACGGCTCAGTGATGACATGTTTCAACTCATTTGAGAAAGCTGTACAGTGACTCAACCTTACAGGGATTTCTATCTCCTGCCTTCCCTGGATATGACAATCTTCAGCCCAGCCCCAATGAAAGCAATGCAGCTACCGGATAAGCATCCCAATGTAGAACAGTATTACATGGAGATGAATGCATTCTGCAGACAAAAGTGTTACGCATTGCTATATGGTGTTCTGCAGAGCAATCACAGAATGACTTGGAGCATCTTATTATTTTTAAAAGGCTTTCCAGCTGCCAAAAGGTCCACTTATAAAGCAGCATTAGAAGACACTGGTTATACACTCCATCCAGATTTATTCTTCTGCCAAACTTGCACGCCTCTCTGATCTGGATGTGTGGCTTCACAACAGCATTTTAATCACCGCTAATACATTTTGTAGAGCCGTTTCCAGGGAAGAGAATTCTCCCTCCCCTGTAAATCAACAGTGTTGCCACTTAGGGAAGGAAGGGGAAGGAA